ACAATCAAAAGTGATGGTACTGAATTAAATAATAACAACTGGTTGAGTGATTCTAAATCAGCTTATAGTTTATTCGAAACTGAATATGATATTAAAACAGGTAAGAGCGCTATCATGTTTACAATGATGATATTGTGAAAATGCTTTCTGAGCATATTATCAGTCATAAGTGATCACTGCATGCTGATATACGAACATTGATAAGTTTTTATCTATATGAAATACAATAGCATTGATATGCTACTTTTAATTTGGATATGAAATGAAAATTTCAGGAAATCGATATAAATTTCCCGACTGGACCTGGTCCAATCATTCCAAAAATGATTCATTCCCTAACGCAAACAAAGACAAAACTCATGCCTCATCATCATTCTATCATTTGCTCGATATGAATGTTGGACCTGGTAATAAGCACAATTTTAGTTTAAGTACTAAATATTACTTTAACTTTATGAGGCTAACAATTTAGAAGACACAGGTAGACAAAAATCTATGTGCACCAAATATTTACTGAAAGCGTAGTTTTATCTATATTAATTAAATATGCCAAAGAAAATTAGTTCATATATACAAAACGTCATGTAAAATCATATGAAATCATTGAAAAGAACGAAATGCATTAGTTTTGGAATCCATTTTTTGCAGCATATAACCTACTTGCCTGCACTATTTGATCTTTTCAGTGATTATTACTTGACTTATTTCAGTAGGTAATGTGGCACAGAAATTGCATATCCCATCACAATATCAATTAAAAGAATTGCAAAACTTTGCACCGTACGTTAACGTCACATATGCTGAACGAACACCTACGGTTTGTCAGTTTCTCATTCCGTTCTAAGTCCTGGGCACCAACAATCAAAGAAATACCTATATTTGCTCAAAAATCGGGCAACTTTCTCACCAACATTTATCATAATCAAAGAAATCAAAATATCCATTTTCAAACTGAAGGGAATTTTGGTTGTAAAAAATATGTAAATTTAGGTGCCATATCTTCCGCACACTTTAACCAGATCGGAATATATATTTGGCGAAAATAGCAGCAGTGTAGAACAATAATATTTATGATATATTTCTTTCAGTTTGACATAAAACTGTCATCATAAGGCAGCAAAGAAATGCAATAAACATACACTAAGATGAAATTATGCATACTTGAGAATTTGTTGGAATATACAGTAAAAAATGATAATACCTGAAAATGCTAAGAAGCAACTGAACAGGAAAGTAAAACTTCGACATAATAATTCCCTGTCATCAACCATGGATTTACATCAATAAATAGAGTCAAAAATCCGCTGGACGACAAAATCGATTTCGGAACGCAAAGCCTGCTAGCGTATCGGCAAGATCTTCTGGAGAATCCTCTTGCACGGCATGACCTGCTTTCGGCAGTATCGTTTCTTGAAATTTGCCCTGCATCTGTCCTACCTACAAAGCTGACGAAACTTATACCTCATTCATATTTTTTTAGATGAGATTACGAGAAAAATTTTTTGTACATAGCTGACGTTCATTTTTTAATTTCTGAACTTAATGAAAACTATAAAGCAGACATGAAATAAAAAAAACAGAAAAAAAAAAAAAAATTAAATGTACAATTAAATCGGTGTCCAGCCTATCAATGCCAGCAAGAACTAGAAGCTTCGGTACACGACAGCCGAGAAATAGTTTGGAAAGGCCCTTGAACCATCCAACCCAATGCGGCTCCGTTTTAGACAAATCAATTCTCCATGTATACAACTAAAATAACTTTACACTAAGATTAACATCACAACACATGAAAAGCCTTTGAAAGATTTATTTTTTAGAGCATATAAAAGTAACATAAATGTAATATATTAGTAAAATAACAAAACAATAAGCTCACATCGCCAGTCTTCTTAATTTGAGCAGGCATAGATACACGAGCAGCTCGGGAATTTTTCGCCGTTCCCGATTTACAGCACCATTCTACTGCGGCTTAAATATGTTGAATTAATTTAAACTCCCCAAACATATCAAACTATATAAATGACATTTGTCTGAAAATTCAAACAGTTTAATTTCGCTATTTCAACATTTAACTAAGGATACTGGAAAAATGGTTAGAGATTACAAAGCACTCCTTTTCTCATTCACTAGTTTGTTTTATATTAATAAATTTTCCTTATTTCTAACAGAATAAATAACCAAACTACACAGGCATACCACCGACGCTGCCAAATTTTTGCGGTCGACTTTTCAAAAAATGTTTCATTGTGGTCAGTGCTTCCATAGCTGTACCTTCTACAACATCAATGACAGCAATACCGATCACAGTCTTTAAACGACCACTAGCTGCTACATGTACTGCAAGGGCACCACCCATACTGAAAAAAAAAAAAAAAAAAAAAACTCTTTTCAGAAATGAAGACGACAATTAATATAAAATCGCGAATTGATGAACAATAAAGATTGACTTTCTGAAATATAATGTCAACAAAATAACCTATGTCCTATTATAAATGTCGGAGTTGCTTCGCCTGCACATATATTTTTATGTATTTCCACAATATCTTCTGTTTGACGTTCGGTAGATAAATCCTGCTCGTCCGTTGTAATTGTATCACCGTGACCTCGCAAGTCTGGTGCTACTATTCGACACTGTAGTTGTGATGAAAGCTTCTCCTAAAATTATAACTACCAATAATGGAATGAAGTTATAATCTAAAGAAACACATGTAATAGATAAAGCTACCAGAATAATATATGATTTATATAGAATCTGCTGCTAGTTGCTATATCTCTTATCATGACAACAATTATTTCATTTACTTAACGTCTAACTTAGATCGCATCGCATATTACCACACTTACAACAGTTAATTTCTATCAAATGACCGTTAAAAAAAAATGTTTTGGAAACCTCACAAAAAGTTTCAACAGGATTAAATTATACCGTTTGAAAGCGAACTGTATTAATGCCCAAAATTGAGAGAACTTACTGTTACGGCTGCCCATGTTAGACCAGAATAACCTCCGCCGTGAAGCATGTAAAAGATGGGTCCAACGTCTCCTTTTGTATAAACGCAAAAAACACCGTCGCTAACGTTCAAACTAAGCTTCCTATCAAAAAATTCATTCCATTCGAGTGGTGTTACATCCATCATAGTACCACGACGAAGTCCTTTACTCGTTGATGGAACTGTCCTAAAACTTTCCAAATTTAACAAAAAATAAATTACAAAGAATTTCCACTGACTAATATCTGCTCTTAAACAATCAAATGTCGGATCTCTTTAAGTAAACGAAGTGGTTATAGCAAATTTACTTCTCCGCAATTATTATTTTCAAGTTCATGAAATCAAGGCGGTTTTTTCTTGTTCTTTCATGTAGCAACTATTTTTGTACCAATCTAAAACTTTAATAGCTTCATGAATAAATATTCAAGACAAGAAATGAGACTTTAAAGATAACTTACCCTGCTGCAACGTTACTTCCATCTTCACTCACTGTTGGTAATCCTTTCCTTGCCAAAACATCTTTGCGCAGTGAACTCATTTCCCACGTAACACCTTTTCTGCGTTTTCTGCGTGTGTCAGATGTATAAAATAGTTAATGACTGCTATCAGCTGGACAAACAAAAGAGCCGAACAAAGGAGATGAATTATGTCGAATGTTGACAAAAATACACTGCAAACAAGTAATTACAACAGAGTTATTTTTTATAATAAATTTAAAATTAGTAAGTGGTGTAATATAAAACAGTTTCGTTAGTATAAAAAAATTAGCTAACCTTAAAGAATGACATAAACCAGACCCATAATAAGAGAAAACTTACTCTAAAATTAGACTTCTACTGCAATTTTACATCTCCATATTTATAGGGATTCCAAACGTCCCATGTCAGATACGCTATTTTGACTTAGAAACAATGTATTAATAATGTATTTAGGATAAAAAATAGGCATAATACCCATCTTTAGACAATGAACAAAGATGAAAAATATGCGACAGAAAAAAACTGCAGATATTGGTTAAAATTCACACAAAGGAAAATAAAAAAGATAATCATTCGTAAAGCTCAGTAAAATTCATTAACAAAATCAGTGAGATTTATCTAAATCAGATAAAACGTATTCTTAACGTTCCATTTTATGCTCTCTTTCATTTTCTCAAATCAAAATGCATTTCAAGATTATAAATAAAACACTACCGGTTTGTGTTTTAATTATGTACTAATATTCACTTCATCGTCATCTCCATATTATATTTCAAATTAATTTTCAACTTAAACTGCATAAAACGTCCACATATCAACATGTGATAATATAATAGAATGTAGAAAAGCAAAATATTGTCCCTCATTGTTTTGTCTCATATAAAAGCAACACTTAATAAATTAATATTAACTTATATTCTCATATTAAAACAATACTTAATAAATTAATATTAACTTATATTCTTGTATAAAAACAATACTTAATAAATTAATATTAACTTATATTCTTGTATAAAACAATACTTAATAAATTAATATTAACTTATATTCTTGTATAAAACAATACTTAATAAACTAACACCAACCTACATTAATCCCTTAACATCTCGGGAAAAAGTCTCGGGCAAACCATCTGCCGGCAATCAGTTTAGCATAAATTCAGGAAATATGGTTCGGCCATTGCAGTGTTGGTAATAAATGGCAGCGGGATTTAAATTTGAAATTTAAGTGAAATTACTGCAAATGAAGTTTCGGAAAGTTTTCCGATTAGCAATAATTTTGGATATAGTGGATAAAGACAGAATTCAGGTAGCAATGATTTGGATGCTTGGAACTAGTTTTAATCGTATTAATTGGTTCTTATCGTTCTAATTGTAATTTTAACCGCATTTATGCATCATAATTCAGTCTAAGTTTTATCATAATTCAATTTAAGTTTATCCAGCGTTGATCATTTACAATCGTGATATTTTGTCTTTATATAACATATTTTTTTTATTGCTTTGTAATCATTAGCATATTTCTAGGTTCAATGTCACAACGATATAATTATACTATCAAAGCTTTAGAAGGGCGACAATTTATTCAGCGTAATTTTGTAACACTTCCTGAAAAAGGCTCCAAATATAGCAATCGAGCAATTAGTCTAAATGAACGATTTTCAATTATCGAAAGAGGTATTCATTCATTGGTAACATTATTTTGCTTACTTTATGATAGTTATTTTAGTGATGAAACGGTGAACGGTCTCTAATATACAGTAATTGCAACTTGATGTTTTTAATTTTGGTAGTAAAGTTGACCGATGTTTATTGACTAATGAATATTAATTGTGATATTCTTTAGCTCTTTAATATTCTTTTGATGTGAAGAATTTTAAAGTTCCTCAGGGAAGGAAGGCTTCTGAACTACGTTCGTCCTTTTCTTTTATGCATGGTGTAGCTTCTTCAAAATCAGGTGAAGTTCAAGTTTAGCCATTACAATTTGTAACTGGACATCTGTCAATAAGTGATACTACTACATTTTCAAATAAGATTGATTTTAGGTTATATTCTTGTGCCAGATTTGAAAAATATAAAAAGGGATTTCCAAAAGAACGTACGTTTGATATCGCGTGTACCAGTAACACAGGATGAACAAAAGCAACAGAAAACCTCAAGTATTGTCACAAAAACAAAGAAGAAGTAATGAACAATCCCTCGCAATGCTGCTTCCATCTAAATACTGGTTTTATAGATTGTCTGTTTTTCTTCTTCTGAACCTTTCCATTCGAATATTTCGTTGATAACATCTTTGCTATTGCTAGTTGTATTGATTGCTCAACATGATTCTTCCAGTTGGATATTTTGATATGGCTGTTTCGTTATGATTCCTTGTGATTTCAATATTTTATTGATAACATGTTAGTTATCTGATTGTCTATTTTCCAAGTATGAAGATAAAAACAACATCGCACACAAAGTATTATCATAAGCAATTATACTGATTGCCTTTTTTCTTTATAATTTTTCATTTTAAATATCTTATTGGTAGCGTATCTGTTACCGTTTTTACACATTTATTACCCACAATTATGAAGATAAAAACAAACCGAACAATCAAAGTACTATCACAGTATAATGGATGGTGTAAAAATTAAATGAAAAAGTCAGGATTTGAACTGGAAAATTTTTGACGTGATACAAGCATGACATGATAAGCATCAACTCACTGGGCTAACAAAATACAAAATAATCATTTACTTATCAGTAATACTGATCAGCCAAAGATGTAAGGATTCTTCTCCAGCGGAATTTTATGCCTTTGTGTTACACTAAGTACACCCAAACTTTCGCCGTATTTGTTTCCATACCACACTGAAACTTTTGTCAAGTAAGAGTGTCATTCTTTTTTTTGTCAAGATCAATAACTGAGTCGTTCTGCTCATTTTTAATTTTTATTTCATTTAAAATGTCAGTGTGTATCGAAGTTTACGTTTTCTTGTGGAAAGAAAATCCAACAAGAACATATTACTATGAAAATTAAAAATTTACCTAGAAGTTCGATCCCTTCACTAATCGGTCTGAAGACGCGATAATAAACTGAACCATTGTATTGGAAAGCAATCAGATTTTGTTCGTTCTCAACTAAAAATTTTATGTCATTTAGGATTTTATCAATTATTTTAAAAATAACTTAAGAACAACTACGAACAAAACAATATCCTCATTGTAGGGATAAATGAAGCTTCTTAGGAGGTAAAATGAACAAGTCACAAGCTAACTTTCAGAAATGTCAGAATTGCGTGAATTTTTTAAAATAGCGTTGTCTCGCTATCTTATCAAAGAAATCAGAGTGACTAAGTAGTCGAAAAAAAGAAAACGAGGAATTAATCAATCATTGCTTACATCTAGAACTATTTATGTAACGCATCCAGTTGGAATATCTCGGATCACTGCCGTCAATATATTGTGATGGTTTCCCACTGATACGAATTTCCCACGAGTAACCATTCTGATCGGCTTTCTTTGGATCAGATAACAATATTCCTAAACTACTCAGAAATAATAAAATTAAAATCAATTATTATTCATTTTACATAAAAATTAAACTACCTTGATATGGACCAAATACTAATCCTATTGGTATGTCCATTTTTGCAAAAACGCCCAATCCCGCTTTCGGAATTTTGGAAGTTTTGATTTCAAAAAAAGCAGGTAAAGTTTGTTCCGCTCTTGGCTTATTGTCCTCGCGTACCTGAAACAAGTAATAACAGCTGAAAGATAACAACACTAGCATAACTCTTGTTAGTTCTTTTAGGAAATCAAATTAGTCTGGAATTTGGAGAAATTTGAATCACAGAGCATGAATTCATAGATAATTACTAAATACATGTTTACCTTGCCTTATATTTGAAAATTGTATACATATTAATATATATGAAAATTATAAATGAGCAGTGAATAAATGATACAACCCACTTCTCTATCACTAACAATAAACAGCGGATGAAGTCGACATGATGCTCGATAGTAAACGCCGCAAAGATCACAATCTGAAAAATGTTTTTTAGCAATTAGATAAACATATTTCCCTTCATAGACAAGAAAAACCATAAACATACGTATATAATCGTCATCCTCTAATTCTGACTCTGCCAAAAGAATGCCAAAAGTTTTCAACTGCTTTTCTGAAAATACAAAACAGTAAGTAATAATCCACTTAAGAGAATAAGTTTTCTTAAAATTTTGGGCATATATCAAATAAATAAAGGTATAAGTTCAATCACTCAATAATATTCGAAATTTTCAGCCAAGAAGTCTCAATATTTTACATAAATCAGAAAATTATGTACAATAACATTATGCATGCCGTATCCGTATCGATGTAATCTTCTCTGTTATGAGTTTGAAGGAATTAGAAATATTAAGTATCTGGTTACCCTTGCCAATAAATGCCATAAAATCGATATTAATCAATTGCTACCTGATAATTTCTGCAGTAGACAGTACTTCGAATTGCTGCAGTCACCAATTTGCACCAATTTGACTGTCCGTTCTACAGCATCAACAACAAGACACATCTATGAAAATCATCATTTTTGATGAATGCACTTCAAAATACAGCAATTAGAATTTGACTATATACAATCTGCATGAGCTTGCACAAATGAAAGCAGTGAAGTGCGAACGTAGCAACCGGGTGAATAATCATACAGAAAACGAAATGAAACAGTATTAAAAAACGATATTAGAAAATACAAAATGAAATTAATGCAAGTAGAAATCAAAAAAAAAAAAACAGGAAGCAATGAAAGACACTTGTTTTTGTCAACTTGAAGAAAAGCAATCCTTTCATCTTTTCTAGATTGATGGTATACTTAAAACCTTTTCCTTATGCTGTGAATACAGGAATTAACAAAACTAAGACAGCATAGCACCGTTGTACGCATCTTTTTAAATAGCTCTGTAAATACAAATTAAGAAAATGGCTTGGTATTATGTTTTAGTATTACTATGATTGTCTGTTGTTAATCTGAATATAGCAGAAGGTATGCGCAAACATTTATTTCCTTTACTCTTATATTAGAATTTATCTGAAGTACTATGGAGAGATTTTATTTGCGTAATGACTATATAGCTAAATCCAGCAATTGATAATACTTAAATCTAGAATTATCGAGAGTCAAGCGAAAATGAGTACTCAATGACCGGTAATAACTAATAATAGGTAAAGCTATAGTGTCAGTATCAAGAGTGATCCTATAGAGAAATTCGAGAGTGGTAGAGGAATATTTTCATCGGATGGAAGTTCGCTTCGATGACATAAAACATGCAAAAAAGTGTTTTTCTTTTTCTTTTACAGGAATTGCAATATTAAATTTAGTTGAAATAACAATTAGAAGAGAACATGAGCAAAAGAAGGTTAAGTATACCTCTTCCTGAGTGGGACTACAACTCCCACGATCCAAGCACTCATTCATTGAACTAATTATATTTTCTGTAATTCTTGTAAATCAGTTACTGGAATTTTAGTACATACTTCACATAATCTGAAAACAAAAATATATCATCGTTCATGAAATAATAAGTGTAACAACTATTGAAAGAGAAATGAAGAACGATCAGTTATAATAAGCAAATGGTCGACGTTAACCTGGTAAAGTAAACGTAAAACTTTGTGATCTTTAATTCTGTCCAAAAATTTTAAATTTTAACTGAATTTAAAGGAAAGTAATATATTTACTGCATTTTGCAGAGTAATTTTTTTTTTTGGACAATTTTTCGAAAAATGGGAATATTAGTCCTATTTCAATTTAACCTAATACTTCCTGACCTTATTTGACCCCTTTAGCCATTTGAATTGACCTATTAACCCTACTACAATAAATAACAGCAGAATTAAAAAAATTAGAAGAAAGAAAGAACATACGCAATTCCTTCCTTACTCTGTGAGCTCCGCCTCTTGTTGCGAAGTTTCATTTCATTTTCCGGAAGTAAACTGAGACGTAACTGAGACGATGAAGTTGTCACCGATTCGTTTGAGTTTAGAATTCGGTAAGCTTGGTAAGGTAAGTTACTTGTCTTAGTACTCGTGTATACTGTTTTGCTATCATTTATAGAAAAAATACTCGGTGTATGGTTTTATTCCGTTAAAATTTACAACTTTATTTACTCTTACTCCATTCACTCGGTCCACCTATTCAGACTCATTTATTCATCCCATTTATTTATTTTCGTATTTATTTACTTGCGTACATTTATTTATCAAATAAATTATTGCAGATTTATGGACAGTACAAATTTACATTAGCTCCGAATGAGCAAAAAGTATTCAAAGGATTTTGGAAAGATGCTGTCATAAAAGTAAGCTTTTCTAACTATATATTGATCAGACTAAAATGTCAGAATGGTTATCGAAACATCCATGTTCCATTATCAATCGATGTTAATTAATTAATTGTTAACAGTTGTGCTTAACTGTCATCGAAATGTTTAATTTCTCTATTCCCATCATATGCATCATTACTGATTATTAGTTTAGAAGTGAAGTGGTATGAACAACGATAAGCAAAATAAGGCAAAGAGTTATAATCTGATTACGAATAAACGAAGTGGATGATAAAATATTAGTCTTATGCTCTTTGCACGTATTTTTAATACTTTCATGATCTTTCCATGTTGATGACAAAATATTGTACTGATAACTAGGCTTCGAATGATAAATCATTGTTTTTATATATTATTTTGTTTGTTCTTCCCAGACACTTTACAATGACGATGAAATCATTTATAGGTATTAAAAAATACATGGATCGATCGATGGTATCTCTGGCTACCTCAAGGTATACTATTCTATTTTATGACAAAGCTATGTGTGGAAATGAACTACGAAGCTTACCGGAAGAAACCGGAAGACTTCATTAATGAAGGTACACCAAAGGATGCATAGTTCTCGTTTAGGGATATTTGTTGTCAAGCCTGCAATAATCATTCAATATATTCGCATATTGTATCTCATAGTTTAAATCTTTACGATTCAGTGGCACACTACTGATAGTTTTTCTTTTTTAAAAATATATATGCAGTAATAAATAAGTTAGAAATTCAAATGCTTGGTCATGCAATGTGAAATTTCTCGAAATGATTCATTTGGGCTTTGTCTGAAAATAATTAAACATACTAACCAAAGCGTCTATATAATGTGAAAAAGTAAAACCATATGAAATTTTCAATAATTTTATAATAAAGATTTCTTTATAATAATTTTTTTTTATAATGCTGCAATTATTGTAAAGGAAATTGTATGATTTATTAAGCTTTGTGTCCGTTCACGGATCGAAATGCAATTTACATTTGGTGACGTATGAGTAGAAGCTGTTATATTTATATTACGTAAACTCTTGAAATGTTTTAGTGGGACGAGTCAATGCAAATTTACAGTGATTGCTTATTAATTTACAATTTAATACCATTCGTTGTAGTTGATTGCTTCTTTAGTATGAACTGATCCTTAATGAAGTTTCATTTTCAGAATTAGTGTTTAAATGAAATCAGTAACTTGAAAAGAGGGATCACAATATTTCTACTTTGTACATTTTAATTTCGTAGGATTGAATAGCATTTGTAAATATATGCTTCCTTCTTGGCGAGTAGAACTACGCGGGCAATAATATAGCCGGGTAAATAATAAATATTATATACTCTTCTCACCGATACGGATATATTCGGCAAGCTCGATCTGTTTATACTCATCTGGTAACGATGTAATAGAAGATTTATTAACAATGTGAAAGTTCAGCTTATTTCCTCACTAAATTATCAGCATCTGGAGATAATTCTCATGCTAAAACAAACTGTTTTGAAGATTTTGATTATGCTATAATATCACGAATTGAAGATTAAGTTCAAAAACTTTATGAATCAAATTGGGATAACTGATATATTCACTTTCTTCTCAGTTTCGTAATGGACATGAATAAATAATGTGTGAAATTTTGATAATTCTAATTAAGCAATAATTTTTGTTTTTAAATTCCTATTCATGCAATTAATCAATCTTTAGTCTAATCGGAAGATCCATCCAAAGAAGTCTTCGTATTGTGTACACAACTGCTCTAACATTTTATCAAAATTTACACCACTTCACCAAATTTTTATCACTAAATGCACCATTTGTAAACATAAACACGAATGATACGCATCTCTCTTCTCCTCATATTACTTACATTTATCACTCATATAGCAGCGAAAGAGAAAAATGAAATTTCATATATTTGTTACAAAGCAAATTTATAGAATGTTCCAAAAAAAGAAACAAGAAAATTAGTAAAATTAAAGTACAAGAATTTAATTAAACAGATGACTAATTTAACATTAACAAAAAATAACACAAAAGAGTCATACCACCAGTCAACACTAATATTAGTAAAGACAAACAAGCAATTAATAAATGAAATAAGAATTATTTGATCAGAAGTTTGTTATTAATAGAATTATGATTGAAAGAATTACATTAAGACAATTGAGAGAAAGTGAATTAATAAAAACAAAAGAAGTTTAACAAAATTTAGCTAACTAAAAATATAAATTAAAAATTCATCACTCATTTGAAAAAAAAAAAGGAAACAATTGCGGAAGTTTTTCGATTTTTACATATTAAAATTTGTGTAAAATATGCGATGATGTTATTATTAATAGTTGATATTTTGATATTTTCATAGCAAATTTTTTTTCTGTTGAAGTTTTTGAATAAATATTAATGTATGTATTGCAGATGTGAAAGAATATACGAAATGATATTAATATGTAAATTTTCATAAATATTAAAAGGAAAAATATTAATATGTAAATTTTCACAAAAAAAAAAAAAATATCTCCTTTCTTTTCTTTTTTTGAAGTAATATAAACTTGATAAAGTTGATTAAATTTTGTAATGATGAAATTAATTATCGATTTCCTGTTTCTTTCTCTTCTAAATTATAACTTTTTATTGATGGATGTTATTATGCTGCCATAACAATTATATGAGATTAATTATTTAAAATAATTGTTTAATCTATAAAAATGAATTTTATATATTTAATCTATAATGTATAGAAAAAAATGAATTTTATATTTTATATATTTAATCTATAGAAATGAATTTTCATATGAATACTCATATTACTGTCTCATTACTTATATTATAAGTGAAAGAGTTGCACTTTGACCTTTTAGTACTTTTCATACGATAATATGCAAAATTGTTCGTTCAATTGTCAATGTTACCATTTATTTATTTGCTTATTTTTGAAATAATATTAACTACCAATGAATTAGAAATGAACAATTAAAAGCTAAGTAAACAATTAACAAATGATTGAGCATAAAAAAATTCGCTATAAAAATTTATGGAATATATTGAAAAGAAAAGTATAACTTTTTTAAAATCAATAATGTATATTTTATTCATATGTAATTTATGTCATGTTATTATAGATATCATAAATTAAACGAGAAATAAATATTTTAATTTATTTATAATAGAAAACGTGAACTCTTTGACGAGAAAAGGTCACGTGAACATTTCACTTCTCAAATTATCCATCTTACGTCGTCTATTCCAAGCCAACAAAAACATCAATACGTTATTGATCAATAGCACCGCCCATCAGACGCTTAGATGTCGTCAGCTGATTGGTTGAGTGCTGACGTGGACCAGTAAGCGTGCGATTTCTCAAATCGACAGTCTGACCGATAAGTGGGTGGTTTTTTTGGGCAATTAAAATACTCGCTGGGTAGGTCATTTTAATCAGAGTTGGGCATGATGGCACTTCTAGGCTTTATTACTTACTTCTTGGCTCTATTGCTTTACTCTTGTAACTTCTAGGCCTCTTATATATCTTATTCTTCTGGGCTGTACTACTTCTTACTTATACTTCTATACTACTTCCTTTTTTGTTATTCTAAACTACTACAATACATGGCATTAGAATGTCTCACATTTCATCAGTTTCCTCTTTTGAATTAATTTCACTAATATTACTTAGATCATTATGCTAAAATTTTTTTTGTTAGGAATAGGAGATAATTGAAGAGATGCAAATAGCATTGATTTAATAGTTTGCTATCCGATGAGAGAAATAGATTGGAAGAATGAAATATTAGGTGAAAATAGCATAGGTATTTTTTTTTCTTGTTATCTAGAGATTATTTGGATATGTATTAATGCACCGTATGTAAAATAGTTTAGCATCATTCCTCTCACATTCTCAAATTAGATCATTCGCAGAAAAAACTCTGAAATGAAAAATTTTTGCTTAAACGTTTCTAATTTAATGTATAAGCAGGAAGCTTCTTGTCGAATTAAATAACTTATAATTGAAATATATTTTCAAGATTTTGCATCATATTTGTGTTAATTTCAGAAATGCAGCTGTATTTGCTGTTAGGACTTGTTTGCTTTTCGGCAGTCAGTGCTAAAATATATTTCAAAGAAGAGTTTTCGGGTAAGTTCATATATTTATCAAAGAATTTTGACACGATAATTTCAATTTTCTGTGTGAACTAGATTAGTTAAATGATGGGAGCAAAAAAAAAAAAAAATCGAAAAATTTGATTATAGTGTAAATGACTGAGTTCCTTGATTCTTCTTCTGATCAAAGTATAAGAAGTGGGTTGAAGGTAGTTTGTCACTAACAGGCTGTTGTTACTGTTACAGCAGAATGATTTGTAATCTTTTTTTATTTTCTTATTTTCAGATGATGACTGGGAAAAAAGATGGATAAAATCAAAACATAAGGATGATTTCGGCAAATGGGAAATATCGCATGGAAAATTTTACGGTGACGCTGTGAAAGACAGAGGTCTTAAGACTGCGCAGGTTACTTTTTTCTTAATTACAATCGTTCGTAATTAAATATCTGTCGTTGTACACTTTCATTACAAGCAGTTATTGAAGTTGTGTAATGTTTGCTTGAAGAGATGTATTTAATCTTTTAATGTATTGCAGGATGCAAAGTTTTATTCGATTGGTGCAAAATTTGAGAAGGGTTTTTCAAACAAGGGTAAATCACTGGTTGTCCAATTTAGCGTTAAGCACGAACAAGACATCGATTGTGGCGGTGGCTACATTAAGGTAAAATTCATTGTGAAAAACGGTTTCGATTTTGTTTGCTTTGTGATTGCAAAACAATATTTGACAACGAATGCAATAACTTATTTTGCTTATTTGAATAAATTAGGACTTTTTTTTAGTAGAAGGTCCTCTCCTTATTTATCGTGTGAGATGGAGTTTAACATTTTAAATTGCATCAGTTTTCCTCGATGATAACACAATTTGATGTTGATGTCGCACAGGAAACTTTATAGTTGACATCAGGAAGTGTTTTTTGCTGTTCGAATTTGTCACACTGGACTTCAGTTGTTATTTAAAATAAATTTTTTTTATCAACTCTGAAGTCTTATAACCTTGTTTTTTTAGCTGATGGCATCAGATGTAAACCTAGAAGATTTCCATGGCGAAACTCCTTATCATATTATGTTCGGTCCGGACATTTGTGGACCTGGAACAAAGAAAGTTCATGTCATATTCCATTACAAGGGTAGGAATCACATGATCAAGAAAGACATCCGATGCAAGGTTGTATATTCTAATAAATATTTTTATTTCCGAGTTGTCTATGCTTTTTCTGGAGCTATCGGTAGTTTTATTATTCATCGATATCCATTTGAGAAGCTATATCAATCCTTCTCGCGTATCTACCCGTTCGGTTTCGATACATGTTCGGGTTCGTCCGAGATAAACATGCAATTTTACTTTAACTTTTTTTGCTGTTTTATGTATTCATTCTGTCATTTATTTATTACTGCAGGATGACGTCTTCACTCATCTTTACACATTGATTGTGAATTCTGATAACACTTACGAAGTACAAATTAATGGCGAAAAGGTTGAGTCTGGTGAGCTGGAAGCCGATTGGGACTTTCTTCCTCCGAAGAAGATTAAGGTCATCATTCCCTCAGTTCTTGTTTAAATTCAATTTAAATTGATATGAGCACGGTCTCTACTGATTTGATAAGATGTATGATAAAATAGGAGTATTCAGGATCCGGACGCAAAGAAACCGGAAGATTGGGATGAGCGAGAATATATTGATGACGAGGATGACAAGAAACCCGAAGACTGGGACAAGCCGGAACATATTCCTGATCCGGACGCCAAAAAACCGGAGGACTGGGATGATGAAATGGATGGAGAGTGGGAACCACCAATGGTTGATAATCCGGAATATAAAGGAGAATGGAAGCCGAAGCAGAAGAAAAATCCTGCATACAAGGTGAACTTATAATTTTACTATAGTTTTCCCGTTTAATTTCCAGGTGCTGTAACTAGTGCAGCGTATCATATCTTTATTTTTTGAGCTTATATGTTTCTTTTTTCAGGGCAAATGGATTCATCCGGAAATCGATAATCCAGACTACACCCCAGATGATGATTTGTACTTTTATGGGGATATTGGAGCAATTGGCTTTGATTTGTGGCAAGTAAAATCAGGAACCATTTTCGATGACGTCATTGTAACAGACAGTGTGGAAGAAGCCAAGGTATGGTTTCGTGTATATTTTCTAAAATATATTTTGAGTTTCTTTCAAAAGTAGTTCTGTTGATATTAGCTTTTTATTTTATTTTTTCTTGAGGATGCGGTAGTCCAAAGAGGCCATCGATTTTTGAAGTTACACATCTGTTTCAATTGGGCTATTTGCAGAAGTTTGGTGAAAAAACATTGAAAAAAACTAAGGAAGGTGAGAAGAAGATGAAAGAAAAGCAAGATGAAGAGGAAGAGAAGAAGAGAAAGGAAGAAGAAGAGAAAAACAAAGAAGAAGAAAAAGAAGAGGAAGATAAGGAAGAAGAAGAAAAGGAAGAAGACGAAAAGAAAAAAGTAAGCTGATGTTATGTTTGCATACTTTTTTTATGTAAAATTTAGGAAATAAACATTTTCTACCATCATAATTTTTCAGGATGATGAAACACACGAAGAGCTGTAAAGCAATGGATGATATGTACCAAAGTGATTTTATTGACATGCCAATTGCCATATCGGTTTTCGTGATATCTGGCATTGTTACTTTTTACCACTAGGATCTCCTTGGGAAATTTTACTGAAAATTGTATTATTTGGGGAGCATTTTAATGCTTCAAAAGTGATGTAGAAAACGAGTAAAAGTTTTGGTGCTGGGAATACTGTTATTAATTTATTCATTCAATATTAATTTTACTCATAATTTGTTGATTCATTATCCTCATTTCTCTCCCTTTTATTTCGCTTCTTGATTTTGTTTATTTGTTCAGATCAGGAATAAATATTTTTATTCTTTTGAAATGCTTGAATACAAAATAGATATATTTTCACTTTTCATCAAAATGAACCATTGTTAGAGTTATTTGCCAACTGAATCAGTTTAATGATTTGAGTAGTGGTAATGACATTTGTGGCTTTCGAATTTTTTTTGGCCAATTCATGCTGTTCTTCAGTTTTTCATTGATTTTTTCGTGAAATGAGATGTGTGTGAAGGTATTATGAGGGAAGAGGTTTAAGAGACGCTTCAGTGTAACTGGGATTGGATAAATTGCTGTCATAAAGGATAAAGACTAATACGGAATTAAAGACACCTTCGAGAGGATAGGATATGAGATATTGCCTGTAGTGTATTTGTTTTAATTTAAGCTTTCGTATAAATATATTTCAGGAGTTAGCGGTTCTGTTTAATAAAGCTAATTGTTGGATTAAGTGAAAAATGAGAGCTGTTCGGTTTATTGACTTAGAAACAGCTGTAGTGGACGTTCATTAAAGGCTTTAATTCAATGTACCAACCAATGACTGTCGCCTAGATGACGTGGATCAGTAGAATTTATGCCTATTGTTGAATGTCTAGAAGGATTTAAGCAGCGGTAAGTGAATGAAATTTTAAATTATGGCTTCTCCTCTATTATTTGTGGTGCTTTCATGCATTATCAATTACGCTAAGAGCAAGACTTATTTCCAAGAACAATTTAAAGGTTATAATTAATTTTTCTATCACTTAATTTACTTATAGAATTCTTCTCAACTCTTTTACTAAAATTAAGCATTGACTAGATTTGACAGTTTCTGAAATTTTTCTTGACCAGATTTCTCATTTTTCTTTTTCTTTCTAATTTTCTACTGGTAAAAACATCAAAATGTTTGACAAAAAATTTTGAGTAATTTCATCGGAAGATAAGGATTAATAATAATTGGTGAAAATTACTTCAAGATATGACATTTGATAATTTTTCATTGTCAAAATTTTTTTTTAAACCTAAAGAACTATGAAAGCAAATTAATATTAGGTGGAAAATTTAATAGATCTCAGTTAAGCAAGCTGTATGATAAACAGGAAAAACTGAAGGTTTATTCCCTTGAGATGAAATATAATATTATGAAGTTTTCTACTAGAAACTTGGATTATAGCATTTGAATTGGATTGTAAGCTATAATCCTAAAGATTGTTTCTCTATTCATTTTTGAATAGAGTTCGAGATGAAATCTGTAATTAGCTTTTTCATGTAACATAAAAAGCTAGATTACTCTAAATCATACATATCGTTTATTTCTTGTTGTATTTCTTTTTTCAATGCTAAGTTTTATTCTTTCATTGCTCAAATATTAGCAGATATTTTTAGACGGAGATGGCTGGAAAAAGCGATGGGTATTATCTGAATATCGAAATGACTATGGAAAATTTAATCTTTCCTACGGTCAATTCTACAATGATCCAGAGGAGGACCTTGGTCTTACTACCACTGAAGTATTTGCTTATGCATTTAATTATATTATTGCTACTAATAGTAGCAATATTAATAAATAAATAACATAGTTATAAATATTTACAGATGTATGAATCATTTGTGTACGTATTTCAGGATGTCAAAAATTATGCTATTTCGGCAAAATTTCCAAAATTTTCAAATAAAGATAAATTGCTGATTGTTCAATATGCAACAAAACGATTTACTCTACCTGATGATGATTGTGGTGGTCTGTATATAAAGGTATAGCAAGTTTTGTTTACTTTTACGCTTTGATATTCTGGTAAAAGAGGAATGTTGAATGTTTATGAAATCATTAATTGTAACGTCGTTCGCATTTTTGGATGTTTTTTTTTGATAGAAATATTACCACAAACATAGGCTATAAATAATTTCAACTTCAGTTTTTTTAAAAAAATTATAATGAAGTTGATTAAATAAAAAATTTTCATAACTCTGAAAATTATTAAATAATCTGAAACAATCGAATTATATTGGGACTGTATAATTCGACTATTTTGTATGTGTATGTAGAGATGAATAGAATTCATGTATACAAATTGAAAATAGTATTATTTGAAATCGTAATTGTTTGAGTGTTGATGTGAAATTTTTGAGAATACATTTAAATGTGCAGTGATAAGAAATATAACAAAAAAGAAAAAAAATTTTTTTTTTTCATCGTAGAATGAATTTATTCCATCCAATTCAGCTAATGAAATCAAACTTGGATCAGAAGCAGTTTAATGGTGAAACCCCGTATGAAATTATGTTCGGACCAGATATATGTGGTAAATATACACGAAAAATTCATGCTATATTTCGCTACAAGAATTCCTACTATTATTGCAATTCTTTTTTGCCCATCTTTGTAATTATTTTTATTTTATTTTCATCATAAGTATAAATTTTAAATTATGTTGTTTGGATTTTTCTTTTTTTTAAAAAAAAAAATAAAATCTCACTAAAATTACTAGGAAAGATGAATAGTTATAAAGTAGACAGAAATTTTAAAATTTGAACTTCAATTTTATTCAGTCTGAACAAAATTATAATTTTCTTTTAAATTATTATCATGTAATCTTTCCAAATGTTGCATTTATTTCAGGATGATGAGCTATCTCATGTTTATACTTTAATTTTATATCCAAATAATTCCATTCAAATATTTGCTGATTATGAAGAAAGAATTGGTGGAGATTTGGAAGATCACTACGATTTTCTTAAGCCGCGGCGAATTATGGTTAGTATTTTAAAGTCTTTCACAAATTCTACCAAAATTTTCTTATTTTCTTACATTCTAAATATATAGCTAATGATTTTGAAATTTCTTTTTAAAGTAATTTAAACAGTTCTTATTTCTATTTTTATTTGAGTATCCTTGATAATATTTGATGGCATCGAAAAAAAAAAACACAATTTCAGGATCCAAATGTAAATAAGCCAATTGATTGGGTCGATGAAGAATTTATACCTGATCCAGATGATAAAAAACCAGATGATTGGGACCAGCCAGAATTTTTATTAAATTTAGATGTTAAGAAACCAGATGATTGGAATGAGGAATGGGATGGTGAATGGGAACCACCAGGAATGATAAATCCGAATTACAAAGGTGAATGGGTACCAAAAGAGATTGCAAATCCAGCATATAAGGTTAATTTTTGAGATTCCAGTGAATTTATTTTGCAAGTATTTCGTTCCTGTCTCTCTTCCGCTGATAATTGTATGATAATAAAATATCAAAATTATTTGTTTTCGGATTTTGAAAATAAGAAGAAATTTAGGGAGAATGGATACATCCTAGAATTGATAATCCAGATTATGTATCAGACCCGAATCTTTATTTACACGATGATATCGGTGCAGTTGGAATTGAGATATGGCAAGTAAACAGTAGCACAGTCTATGACAATATCGTTATAACTGATTCAATTGAAGAAGCTAAGGTAATCTTCAAACAAAATAAAATTAAACAATAAAAAAAGATATGTATTTTTATGAAAGTTTTCTTCCTTCATGGAAATCACTTTTTTTTTCCATTGGGAAATCTTTTGAATTTAAAGAGAAAACATTTTAATCATTGTTAATTTCATGTGAACATTCATCATACTTCAGAAATTTGCTGCTCTTACATTGAATGGTACTAGAAAAGGTGAGGAGAAAATGAAGAAGGAAATCGATGAGAAACTTCAACGTGAAGAAGAAAAGAAGAGGAAGGAAGAAGAGGAAGAAGAAGAAGAGGAGAAGAAAGAGGAAGAAAATTCGAATGAAGATGAGAAGAAAGAAGAAGAGATTAACTTAAATGAAAAACAAAAAATGGTAGAAATAAAAAAAAAGGATGAAGAAAGCGAAAGTAACTTCGATTCAGAAGCGAGTCAGAAAGAAAAAGCAGAATCGAAACTGGAGAATGAAAGGAAGTTGAGAAAAGATGAAGAAAACGAGCTAAGAGAGGATAAGAGAGAAAGGAATTCGAACAAAAGTATGGATGAAAATGAGGAATGGAAAGATGATGTAGATTTATCTTTCAAAGTAAGAACTTATAAATTTTTTAAAATCCTAGTTGACTATTGATTGCTTGTTGATCTTCGATTTGTTGTTAGAATGAGATGACTTCAAAGTGAAAAAATTAATGGTTTAAAATAACAATGTGAAAACTTTTTGGCTAAATTTTGTGTCATTTCAGTCAAAAGAAGGAAGAATAAAGAAAGAAGAACTATAAACGGAAGTGATGCTATGGCTGATTGATATAAACGTATGAAATGTATGAAATTAAGCATTTAAATTTGAAATAGTTTTTATCAAGATAACTTCTTTCTTCTGTTATATAAATAAGAAATTGTTCATTGTTGATTTGTTAGTTTGTTAAAATAAATCAATAAATCAGTTCGTTGTCAAAATAAACTATTATAATCGCAAATTATAATGTAGAATAACAGAAGATCTATCGGTATCGTTTAGGAATAAATTGCAATTGCATCATATAATAAGCCAGTAATAAAAGTATTATTCAGTCGATCATTATAATCTTTTATCAGATCTATGCGAATTATCTATTATTATATCCATCTTTTCATGATCAAAAATTAACAACCGTAATCACTCTTTTTTTTTTCAAGAATTGTAAAAATGAATTTTGATTATATTTCAGCAAATTATTGTCAATTTGACTTTACTTAAAGCATCATCAGAATGCTTACATTTAATAGTAGACAGATAGAGATGATTATGCTTAAACAAAATGAGCCAAGTGATTGCATTTATGATATTGATATTAATTATTATTATTATTTATTATTAATTATTATTATTGTTATTATATACTATTAAAAATGTTGAGTATATCGGTGAGCAAAATATATGTTTAAAAATGTTGAATGTATCGGTAAGCAATAAAAATGTTTTTTTTTTTTTATCTTTACTGATCAAACTATTATTAGTTAAAAAGTATTTATGGAGATCTTATACTAACACAATATGTGTCATTTTGAAATATTCACTGTAACTTACAGTGATTTATATTATCATACAAGAAAAATATTACATTAAAGATGCATGCATACGCGCAGACGCGCATGCACATGCACATGCACATGCATATGCATATGCATGTTAACAGAATATATGAAAGATTGAATGAAATATCAAATATATAATAATTTGGAATATAAACGGAAGAAAGCAATGAAAGCTTTTACAAAAATATCAGCAAATATATATATATATATGCCCTTAGATGAAAATAAAAAATGAAAAGTAAATAATTAAATTTAAAATTTCCTATCCATTTAAATGATAACTTTTACTTATGATTTTAAAATAATTAAATTTAAAATTTCCTATCCATTTAAATGATAACTTTTACTTATGATTTTAAAATAATTAAATTTAAAATTTCCTATCTATTTAAATGATAACTTTTACTTAACTTTATTATGATGCTATTATAATATGATATTTTCTAGACGAATACAGTCACTCTTTTTTTTTTTTTCGAACTTTTCTTTTTCTAAAACAGAAAATCCAATTTTTAACTATTTATAATTTCTCAGAATTATTAAAAATAAAAAAGCCATATGTTATTAAACAAACGATCAATTTACAAAAAATACTTACTATTAATGAGAAAAATCTGTTCGCAATTTATTTAAAAAAAAAAAAAATTAAAAAAAGAAAAAACAAAACAAAACAAAAGTAGACACAAATACTCAATTATGCAATTTTTGCAAAATATTATTTCATCATTTTGAAATCAAATTTACTCATTGAGAAAGAAAATGCTTCGCTTATTATTATGCTTTTTTTTTTTAAAAAAAATATAAAACATTTTTCTCTTCCTCTTTTTTTTTAAATCTTTTTTTTTCATCAAATATATTTCTAAAATAATACACACAAAATAAAAGGGAAAATTCAATTTTCTAATCTTAAAAATGAAAAAAAAAGAGAGAAAGAATGAAAAAGAAAAAGAAAATTTTGAAAAAAAAAATAATAATTTTATAAAACTAACCATAATTTTAAATATAAATTGAAAGCATTAAGAAGCAATGAAATATACATTATTCTATATACAGCAAATATTTTAATCACATTCCATTTGTTCTTCATTATCCTCCGAATCGTAAGCTTTATGTGCTTCACGAAATGCAGTAAATGAGCTTACAGGAAATAATTTTGGTGCACAATTATTGTTTATCTTTTGTCTATTTGCTATTATATCTGTAAAAATTTATTTTTATTTTTTATATATAGTAGAAGAAAAATAAAAAAAAATAAAAAACTTTCATTGTCAAATTTTTATTGTAATTGAATTGTTTATTGCATAAGATAAATCAATCAGATAATATATCATAAATCAATAATTTAAATTCTTTTTCAACTAATAACATAAATTATTAAAATTATAATTTATGATACTGATAAAATAAATATGTCAATAAAAGAATGCTTTAAAATACTATTGCAGTTAGTAGATTTGAACTAAATTACTTTTAAAATGAATCCATTCGGTTTACTTTATTATTATTACATAGTACGATGAAATAGTGAAAAATAATTTTATCAAAAATAATTCAGTTACCAAAATTCTACTTATGACTGAATTTCATTACAAAAGTTTCATTTTTGAAAATGTTATAAAATAATTTTTTTTTTAAATTTTATGCATTATATTTAAGTATATAGATTAAAAAAAAAAAGAAAATCAGATAGCATAACTTGTCATTAAGTTTTTTTTTTTTTTTGAAAATTACTTTAAACTTTCATAGCTATTATAAATTAATTATTGTCTAATAACATGGCATAAAATAAAACATATATGCAATATCAAAATAACATTTAATAATTTAAGTTATGAACAATATCAAAAATAAAGGAAGCAAATAATAGTAACAAATTTTGTAAATATATTTTAAAGGATTAGATATTGTTTATGAATGTTTTTATGAATTTTTGAATTAAACAGAATTCAATCTATGCTTCTATTTTAATTGTAATATAAATTAATAAACTAAGTATAAAATTAGCAAATTTAAGATTGTAATTTCAAAATTAAAATAGAATAAAAATGAAGTAAAGGAAAAAAATGAAACAAAACCTTCAAATTTATTGGATTGCTGTCGATTTGGATCATCATTTCCTCTTTCATTACATATTCTTGTCCATTCTTCAGATAACAATAGCTGTTGTTGTTGTTGTTGTTGAATGCTAATTGGTTCAGTAAGACTCTAAAAATGTAATTAATCAATGAATATTGAATTTAAAAAAAAAAGGAAAATTAAATTATACAAAAGAGAAACATAAAAAAAAGGGGAGAGAATGATACACTTATTGTATATTAATTAAATTAAATAATAAAATTGCTAATCTAGGCTAAAATGATTACCGTGATGGTGTGAGAGATCATAGGATTATCACCACCAGTAGCAGAAGATAAATTTTCATCAAAATCACCGAATCGAAATGGTGTGTGTCGAGTTGTTTGGGGTAATGAAATTGCAGATGCACCACCGATTGTTGTCTCACTGATACCTGCTGTACTTGCTATGCCATGTTGTGTTAAAAAACTAAAATGTCACACTTTTTTTTTAGCATTAAAATAGCAGAAAAGAAAAGAGAAAAAAAATAAACAAACAAACAAATAAACAAACAAAAATGAGAATATCAAATGAAATATGAATATAATTTATGAAATATATCTTCAATAGATATTTCTAAAATGTAAACAACAATAAGAATACTTAGACTTTTAAATTGTTTACAAAATCAAACAATATTCATATAACTTATTCTGTTATGCTTACAAAGTTATCAAATGAAAGATTTTAGTTATGATTGTCAAACAGATGACAAGTTTGACTAGTGAAAGGTGAAAAGTTAAATTAGTTGCTATCATATCATACGCTATCATATGTTTAAACTGATATTTCAGAAAGCAAAATAAAAAAAAAAAAAAAGTGTAAATAAGTAATAAAAGGTTCAAAATGATATTTTAAAGTAATAAAATATTATTACTTTAGAGAAATCTTTTAATTTATTTCTAAATTGTCTCATGCCATTTGTTGGATAAATCAAGAATGAAAGTATCAAAGTAATTTCTGAAATTTTAAATCGCTTTAAAGAAATAATTACAAATTAATTCTTACACCAATGAAATTAATGAATTCAATAAAAAGAAACCTTTTATTCATACATGATGAAACTGAATTTGAACGTTTTCGCTTGCTATGACTGTAATGTGGAATGACACGACTTGAACGCCGTGATACACCACTACCACTACCACTACCGCCACCGCCACCGCCACTACCGCCTAATGATGGTCGAAATGATAAGGTTTGTCGTAGCACCTAAATATATTAACAAGCATTTTCTTTAGATAACAATGAAATTAATCAAAATTAAAAATTATAACTGCAATTGAATTGTTGATAATAATCTATTTTAAATGTTTCTTTTTTGATTTTGATTAATAATTCTTTTAATTAACAGGTAAACAAAAATATACAAAAAATGGGAGAAACAAAAAAAGAGAGAGAGAGAGAGAGGGAGAGAAAAAAAATAAAAGATTAACCATAGTATCAAGTGATGTACTCATGCTTAATGGTGGAGCTCCTAAAATATGGCCACTAGAAGTTGTTATTGAAGTACTACAAGTACTTTCCGTTGAACTTGTAAGCATTTCACCGCTATATGAAGATGATGTAAGAGTTGTAGCAATTTGTTGTTGTTGTTGTTGTTGTTGTTGTTGTATTTCATTTTGATTTGATGTTGAAATACATGGAAGAGTTTGTTGTATTTGTCCTAACTGAAAATTTTTAATAAATTATACTTTAATTTTAATAATAAATTGTTAGTACATATGTATTATAAAATGAATTTTATTTATTTTATTTCATCAAATATAATGAAAAATTTTATCAAACATATTTAAAAAAAAAAAAAAGAGAGAGAGAGAGAAATAAATACAAATAGATTTTTTTTTTTTTAATATTTAACTAAAGATTTTTCTAGTGCTTTTTTTTTTATTTTAATATTTATATTTAAATGAATTAATAAAAAAGAAATAATAATAATTACCTGACATAAATCAAGTGCAGCAATTGTGGAACGTTTCTCCATTTCACTAAGACGATTATCATCTGGTCGTAGTACAACATCTTCTACTGCTCGTTTCAAATCACCAATATGCATAATTGAATGAATTTTGCTAATGACAAATGATGAATCAAATTATAATCAAATTCAAATTACAGTACAACTAGCAAATAGAGAAATAACGATAAAATATATTTTACGATGAAATATGCCAAATTCAAGATTTCATCGTTGCTTTCAGCTTTTTCAGTACAAATACTAGAAATTCTAGTAATTTAATAATGATACAATCAACTATTATCCATTCATTTTCTCGTCCTTCTATCTTCTTTTATCTCAATTTGACCATATTTCTGGAATGAATTTAAATTTTAATTGCATAATCATATTTACATATATCAGTAATCAGTAAAGATTATAGTAGTAATTAATAAACTATAAAAGATTATGTTTGAAAAATTTTATCATAAAAGAGAGAGATAAGGAGGGAGGGAGGGAGAGAGGAAAGGAAAGAGAGAGAGAGAAAAAAAAAAGGAAGAAAAGATTGAAGAATGCAATGATTGGGATAGAAAATGTCAAAAATGAGGTCAACGGTGTCACCAAAATGAATATATTTGTTCTAAATAATGATACATCATTAAATATATATTTAAATAATTTAAAAAAAAAAAGAAAAGAAAAAGTTAAACATTAAATTATTAGGAAAAGATAAAAAACACTAAACAATAAATTAAAAATAAAAGCAATAAAATAAATATTTAGTGAAATTATTTATAATTTGAGAAGAAGAAATAAATTATTTTGGCAAATTTCATTCATTTTTTTTTTTTTTGTTTTATAATTATTTATTATTATTAATAATTATTGTTATTATCATTATTATCTCTCTTTCTCTTTCCTTTCATAATTTTTGCACTATTTGATGAGAGAAATTCTTTTAATATTAAACATTTTCCATTTGAATTAATCCTTCCCTAAAAATCAATTAATATTGTAATGTTTGAAAGTAAATAATTACACACTGCTATAATCATATCGGAAATAAAATTTCTTTACAAAATTTATAAATATCAAATGAGTATTGATTGAGGAAATAGAATTAGTCATAATGATTAATATACATTATGATCAGATCATATCATATCATATCATATCATATCATTCATTTTTTTCATAATTTAAAAAATTTAATTAACTTCCTTAATATAGCTAATCGATGCACATATGTTTAATGAATGCTATTAAATTAATAATTGGAAAAGTAGAATTGATTAAGTAATTTGATATTTGATTATTATCATTACTGATTAGTGATAGTTAATGGGAATGTAAGACTAGTAATGAAGTAAAAACATGAAGATAATAATAATAATAACAATAATAATAATAATAATAATAATAATAAACATTATTGATAACAATAACAATAACAAAAAATAATTAACAATAAATTAATGACACAATACATTTTTATAGGGAAAAGAGAGAGAGAGGGGAAGGGAGAGGAAGGAAGAGAAAACAAAGAGAGAAAGGGAAAGAGGAAGAGAAAGAAAGAAGAAATAATAATAGTTTGAAAAGTTAGTATTTAAATAATTGCTTATATCTTTCTTATCTCTTTGTCAATCTAAAAGTATAAAGCAATAAAACAAAATGAAAAAAAAACGAAAGTAAGTGAAAAGAAAGGAAAAATGGAAAACAAATATATCAATCTAAAAAGAAATAATAATTAAGAATGTTTCTTGAAACTCAGAGAAATATCAGTTTTATCAGTCGATCAATCAATCGATCTATTCATCGATCGATTGATCTGTCTCTTTTATTTAAGAGATAGATCAATCGATCGATAAGAAAAGAAAAGAGAAATTTGACTTATAAACAAATAAAGTAAATTGCGATAGTAATATTTTCATTGTTATTTCTCTTCTTTTAATCACTTTCACTTCAACAAAGACTTCTAATCATAAAATAATTATAACAAAGAAAGAGAGAGAGAGAGAGAGGGAGAGAGAGAGGGAAGAGAGAGGGAGAGAGAAAAAAAGGAGAAATTTAACTCAATTGGTTGTCATTTATAAAAAAAAATAAATTCCAACATGCAAATTTATTTACCAATCCTTTTTGCTTTTTTTTTTCAACCACAATTATCAAAGTGTCACTATTAACAATACTCTCTTTCTTCTCTCAATTTTTGCACATCTTTTTGTTCATTCACTCTCTCTCTCTCTCTCTCTCTCTCTCTCTCTTACTGTCTCTCTCTTTGCTATTCTCTTCTTTTTTTTTGTTTGTTTTATTGAATGAAATTTAATTTGATCAAAAATATCCTCTTTCAGTATACATTCTGTAAAGTTTGAAATGACAAATTTGTTATTTCCGGGAATGGGTAGAAATATCTCCTTCCCTCCCTCTCTCTCTCTCTCTCTTTTATGAGAGAGAGAGAGAGAGAGAGTATGAGGTATACGATTAGTTGATTGTTTGATAAGAAAAGTAATATGAAAGGGAATAATTTTGTTATAGATAGCAGAGTTTTGGATTTCTGAGAAAAGTACTATGAATTGATGGATTGAACGAATGAATGAATAAACGTGAAGGAATGAATGAATAAACGTGAACGAATGAATGAATAAACGTGAAGGAATGAATGAATAAACGTGAAGGAATGAATGAATAAACGTGAACGAATGAATGAATAAACGTGAAGGAATGAATGAATAAACGTGAAGGAATGAATGAATAAACGTGAACGAATGAATGAATAAACGTGAAGGAATGAATGAATAAACGTGAAGGAATGAATGAATAAACGTGAACGAATGAATGAATAAACGTGAAGGAATGAATGAATAAACGTGAACGAATGAATGAATAAACGTGAAGGAATGAATGAATAAACGTGAACGAATGAATGAATAAACGTGAACGAATGAATGAATAAACGTGAAGGAATGAATGAATAAACGTGAAGGAATGAATGAATAAACGTGAAGGAATGAATGAATAAACGTGAACGAATGAATGAATAAACGTGAAGGAATGAATGAATAAACGTGAATGAATGAATGAATAAACGTGAAGGAATGAATGAGTGGAAAAAGTGTCACATATTATTATATATCACTGCAAAACAATCAACTAATCTACAATTAATAAACATAAATTAATTTATTTTGTGAAATACTTCAAAGTAATGTAACATAATATAAAGTATCTATTTTAGAAAAGAAATTGATAAGGGTGTAGCACACTATGATATGATATTATCAATCTTCTATATGTGAACAATAATGACAATTTAGTGAATAAATATTTGAGAGAAAAGAACTTTAATTAAATGCTAAATATATTTTTAAGTATTACTCATCTTCTATCATTAATTATTTCTATTTTTATTAATTCTTTAAGAGAAATCACAAAGAAAAGAAGAAAAGAAGAAAAAGGATTCTGTAATCTAAAATTTTAATTAAAAAAGATGAAGCAAATAACTAAAAATTAGACAAAAAGAGGAAAAAAAAATAGCAAATCAAATGAACTGAGTAATGAACCTATAACAGTGACTGATATTTAGTAGAGAGAGAGAGAGAGAGAGAGAGAGAGAGAGAGAGAGAGAATAGAAAGGAAATATTTCGTATGATTAAAATTTTTTCAATAATTTAATGTGGTACATTTCAAAAATGTATCGATTAGAATATGTGCATGTTTCATCACATTGGAAATTTAGTTAAAAAAGGACATGAAAGATACATATGATTGAATAAAATATTTAACACTTACTTACTTACTTAGTTACTTACTTACTCAGTTACTTACTTCCTTAGTTACTTACTTCGTTAGTTACTTACCTAGTTACTTACTCACCTACTTAACTACTTTTTTTAGACTAGAATTGAGTAACTTAGCTTAAACAAACAAAAAATTTTATAATTATGTGAGTAACGGATATGGTATAATCATCATCATTATCAACATAATCGTTATCATTATTATCTTTATCAACATAATCGTTATCATTATTATCTTTATCAACATAATCGTTATCATTATTATCTTTATCAACATAATCGTTATCATTATCATTATCCTTATCATCAAGATTGCATATAAGAGGACTAAATAATCACAGCAGTAATGAAATAAACAATTTGGTTGGTAAAAAATTTTAATTAATTGAAAAAATATATAATTTCAAAATTTCAATTTTAATATTTTCAAAAATAATAAATTAATGTATGCAAAGATTAAGCAAAATTATTTTACATTAATTTCTCTCTTTTTTTTTCTTCGTATATGCATAATATAAATAATGTGACAAAAAAGTATAATAATTCTGAAAATTTTTATTTCTTTAATTTCGATGTTTTTTATTGAAAAATTTAACCTTTGACATCATCAAAAGGAAAAAAAAAATCTTCAAAATTTCAAAACATTGTAAGCTTTTTCAAAAATTTCTTCACAATAAATTTTTATCACTTCTATTAATCTTATATTTTCAATCAGATTATATTGCTTCACTTAAAATATTATCAGTACTATAAAATTTCCATCATCCGGTTATCTGAACCGATATCCGGTTAATTTTCCAGAAGAATATATAACCTGAGAGTGTAAATGTGGATGGAAAAATTAAGCTTCCGTATGATTAAATTGTAATGTTAATTCATTATTGAAAATAAATAATTGACTGTGTTAATTCAAGTACTAGCAATTAGCTAATATTTTTTTTAACTGACAATTAGCTAATAGCTAATATAAATTAGCTAATTATAACAATTAGTTAACATTTAAACTAATATAAATTAGCTAATTGCTATTACATATTTCATTTGATGCATATAAATCTAACTTTCTTCAATTTACGTAAATTATTTAGCTTAAATTTCATAGCACAATTATACTTCGGTTTATCTCAAAGCTAATCTTAAGTCTTTCTTTATATTATATAAACAATTTTTTTTTTTAGTAAATTTTTTATAACAACAATCTTAATTTTATTAATGTAACGATATTTAATTGATAGTGCATTATCAGTTATATTACGGATTGATAAGGCAAATAACATACTTATCAGTTAGACAAATTGTTTTTTTTTTCTTACTAGATAAGTT